TTGTCATCAATTTTTTTCATATTTTTGCGAGTAATCAGATGACTTTATCAATGAAATATGTAAAGTTCATTCAAATATAAATACATGCGCGCATTTATGATTCGTTAACTTCAACATGATTTGAGACAATCCAGCATAACTTGCGAATATTTATGTTATGTAATTATTGTAATTCGTAAAATGCACCCGTATATGAAGGAGGAGAGAAGAGAGTCACTGAAAGAGCAGAATATCTCAATCTTCTCGTCGGGAATGATATAAGAAAAAAATCATGTAAAACAAATTCCACGCGTATACACGCTCACTATGTACACAAAACAACGCAATAATTTGCAAGTGAGAAATACCGGCGTACTTTGCACTTTAAGATCGCATTTACATACGACACACTTTCACAGCGCAACTATTATAATATGGTTGTATAATGCAATATTATGATAGACTGAAAATTTAATGCGAGCACAGGTTATAGCATCCACTAGCGCGAAAATCGTACTGAAGCGATGCTGCACGATCGATAATTTGCGGTGCTCCAGGTGAAAGTAAAATATAAGTGGGGCGATCAGGCAAATACAAATTGATCAGCAACGCGCGGATGTACATCAATACCGCGATTATAAAGACTTGTGTTATTGAATTCTTCCATGCTAACATCATATCTTTTTACAGTCAAACTTTTCGCGGCGCGGAATCGTGCTATGCTAAGACGGTTTGCCATCTCTCGTGAGGAAAAAACTAAAGTCTGTTACGGTAAGATAATAATAGATTACTTTTATGCGGAATAAATAATTTCCATTATCGCATTAATTTCATTAAATTAAATATAACTTTGACATTGTAATTTCTCTCCAAATAACTTTTAAAATAATCATTATATTGATTCTTAATATAAATATCAAAATGTTATAACAAGAAAATTTTAAACCAAATAAGATGAATATAAACGATTAATTAATTTCTGCTGCTTTTAAGAGATCTTAAAACACAATCATCTTAAACAATTTGTCTTTGAACGAATGAGTATTTGTATATTGATAATGAAAAATGTGAAAAATATTTCAGATCTACTCGGTTGTTTTGCGGATTCGCCGCCGCATTTATCGATAAAACGAGCGCCAGAGCATCCTAGCGTAATTCAAACTAGGTTCTTCCTGTATACACGTGCGGATCGGCAAAAACCGGAACCCTTGCAGTACGGGGACAACTTAAAATCCATCGTACATTCCCGATTCAATGTCAGCAAGCCTCTCAGAGTGTTGATACACGGTTTCAAGGGTAGCGGGAGCGACGTCGGCGCAATACTTGGCATAAATTTTCTTCTTGACATAGTAATTTCTAATTTAGAATTATAAAATTCTCAAGCTCTCCACAGTTGAAAAATTTATAAAAGCTTTGAAATTCTATTTAACATACAGGAAGACGCGAATGTTATCATCTTGGACTGGACGAAGGGAGCGGGCACTTCTTACGGAAATGCTGTAGCAAATAGCGAATTGGTTGGCCGGCAACTGGCTTTGGTGCTTTTAGACGCCATCAATTTGGGTGTCGCTGCCGCCAAAATTCACGTGATCGGTTTCAGTCTTGGCGCACACGTGGCTGGTTGTGCCTCGGAAGTATTGAAAAGAAGAAGTCTACTTCTGGGTCGCATAACAGGTCTCGATCCAGCATCACCATTTTTCAGGCATCATCTGTTCAGAGAGAAGTCGAGAAAATTGGATGCCACCGACGCCAGTCTCGTCGATGTCATTCACACCGACGGCTCTCAAGATTTCATGGACGGCTTTGGCCTACTTAAGCCGATCGGACACATCGACTTTTTTCCTAACGGCGGTAGAGAACAACCTGGCTGCACCGACATTAAAAATTCGGTGATGGTCAGTCACTTAAAAGGTAAAAAAAAAAAAAATGATTCGAGTGCGATTAAGTTATTTAATTTAATTATGTGCTTATGGTAAATATATTTGATTTTGACTTATCGTCAGTTTATTAGGCTGGTATTCATATAGTTGACTCTTATTTCAAAACCGTCTACGGCCCAAATTCTCGGATTGAGAAATCTATAGTCAATCAACTTGTCCTTCTTTCATAAAATACAACGCGTACAAAAAAATACATTCAACACGTTAAGAACAAATTATATATGTAGATAACACCCAGACGCACGAAAAAGTTCTGAATTTGTTTTAAGATATATCATAAAACATTTAATCTGCTCTTCATTAAAGAATGTACTCCTGCTTTTATAAAACATTAATTTTTTTATTACTTATTTTAGAAGATATATTGGACAAGAATATAGCGTGTAGCCATTTAAGAGCTTTTCAGTTCTATATAGAGAGCATTCGCTCGCAAAATGAGAAATGCAAATTCATTGCATGGCCTTGTTCACAAGGAGGAATATCCTATGCAAAAGGAACGTGCTTTCCTATGGAATCAACAAATTGGAATCAAGAGATGGGTTATGCGGCTAATCGTGGAGCATTGGGAAGCTATTATCTGGCAACTAAAGCCGAAACACCGTTTTGTGGTATTATAATATAAAGATTTTTTTTTATTAAAAAATATGTCTATTGAAGCAGCGTATTATTGATATTAATTTTACTTATTAAATACTAATTTATCTCAATGTACATTTTCAATACTAATTTATGTTATAATAAATGAAATTCCATATAAACATATTATTAAACAAATAATTTTTTACATGTATTTACACAAAATTGCACAATTAATATTAAATTTGGAAAATCTTGTAAATTTTAGGTGAACCAGTTAGGGCATCAATAATGACGTCCGAAGATATCCTAAAAACATCTGGAACATTGTTTTTCAAAATCTTTCTTGCTAATTCTACAACGCTCTTCAAAATTCAATGCACGTAAGTATATAAAAATCATTTATACATATATAAAGGTAATTTTAAGTTAAGTAACAAACTTTGTCGAAAGTATAATGTCGCATGACATTAGTTTAGAAGTTTTAGTTACGCAATTGGTGCTAGATTCTACAATTTTTATCGAAGACAACGACTTAATTATATTTTTTAATAACAATACACATTAGCATAAGGCATGCAGATATTAATATTTAATATTGTACAATTTGATAAGAAAAGATAAATCTTCAAGTTTCATAAGTATCAATTTACGTAGTAAAACCTCATTAATAATTCTAAATATTATTCCAGATTGCTCAAACCAATAAACGAACAAATGATGTTTTATAACATCGCGGCCGTGGATTTCGATGCATTAATGGGAAATACTGCATCGATTATCGGTATCATCTCATATCAGCGCATTGTTAACAGAACAGAGGAGGATGCTGCACAATATCCAGATGCAGACGTAATATTTTTCAATAAACTAAGTTTGGAAGATCGTAAAGGCCATAGGTAAATATACGGTATAATAATTTTGATAAAAACTCATTAAATAATTTTAATAAGAACTTGTCAGATTATTTGAACGAAAAGAAAAGTGGATTAATTTTCTACTACGTTTCATGATTAATTCTTTTGCATAATTAAATTAATTATAAACAATATATAATTTGTGTCAGAATTCTAAAGTTATAATTTTATACGCCATAAAATATTATGACAAACAAATTATGTGGAATATATATATATAATTATTTATGCTATATAAATATACATGTATGTATTTATTATATACTTCATATAAATAATAATTACTCTTTAAATCTATGAAGTATAATTTACAATAATTATAATTATTAAATATGTATATCTAATATTTTTTACATATTCATATTTATATGTACATATACATAAAATATAAGTAAAAAAAAAATATATATATATATGTCTGAAATGTACAGTATACAAAATTAAAAGCTAAAATTTCATACTGAAATCTGACACAAATTACAGATCGTCCAAAGTGAGTTTTATGCAGTAAACTGAAATAAACTGCACAATATACAATAATAGCTAATTAAGTTCTTTTTTCATCAACCAGATGGGAATATTGCAGAACGAATACCCTAATCAATTCGCACGAGATGCACGTAGAATTGAAAAATGAACGCTGCACGCCGTCATAATAATATCTTTGCCACAACATGACAATTTTATATTTGAATAAAAGTGGTCTACATTGGTCTACCTCTCTACAAGTGATGTTTTAAAAAAAAAATCACAAGTTTCCACTTGTTTTACAACATTTATCCTCCTTCCAAACTTACTTTCTATTCTTATACTTACTAGCCGCAACGGATCAAACGCTGAATGTCTAATTCGATGCCTCGTTCCAACAAATCGCATAATATTAAATCGTGGAAAAAATTTAATAAGCGTATGCAGATACGATAAATAATTTTATTTACCAACCCTCTTACGTTGATGATGTCGCGTCTTCGCGCCGTTCCATCATTCAGGAGGCTCCAAACATTCGCTCGGCCAACACATGTTGATTCGAAAAACACGGTTCATTACCGCGATGACGACAGTCACCCGGCGCTTTACACAACACTCCCGACACGCTAATGACACGCACGATCTGCCATGAACGAATAAATAACACGAAAAGATACGACGATTCGTCACACATCGCACGCACACGATGCTTACCGAACTTGCAATGACTGGCGAGAAATTCAAAGCAATTCAAAGTACGCGCGGACAACTTCACGCAGATGTCTAAAATCAGCAACTTCATGTGAAGAAACTGCCTCTCTCATCGACAAAGTGCCATCAATGTGTAGATGAAAAATCTCACATTTAAAATATAATAAATAAAAATATTAAATGAAACCCCGATGAAACGACGAAAGGATAAGTATAAAATTTTTTGGCTTATTTCTAATAACGTCACAAGAATGCGGTCTTTTTTAATTCGGATCGTTGCGCACAGATGGCATCGATATAACTTTCTCACTCGCTCTTGCGATACTCGAGTGCTGCTCTGCGTATCCTAGTCTAACCTTAAAGTAATGGAATCTAGTAAACAATAACAATTAATGATATTGACGTTACGTTCGGAATAAATAAGATGATCCAGCGTATCTGGTAAAGTAGATGCGTATTATAATAGTGTAACTTCAGGATCCCTCGAGAATGAGCTACATCATAATCATACGTGCCTTCAGACCGGGCGACGAGACCGGCTGCAATAAATTAATCAGAGACTGCGTGATGTCATCTCTAAATGCTACGTTTTGCGGGATGATCTTTAAGGAGATAACATTTCAGTCAATTATTCTGGTGTCCGCAATAATGTTTATTTTCTTCGAGATGCCGTTGACTGTCTGCCTCTTGGTTGTACCTGTAGTCATAGCATTGATATATGCTGGCACGTACGTTACTTTCATCGCAAAGCTAACGGAGATCGACAAAGAGGTGGTTAACATTCCAAGGTATTATTATATCATGGATCATTTAATTCTCCTCTGGAACTGATATCAAATCTATAACATAATTATGGAAAGAAAAGGAAGAAAGATAAACCATGTAGAAAGTTCAGCTAAAAAGAATAGGCCTACACTGATACATGTAAAATCCATTTAATTTATATTGATTAAAAGACAAACTAATTTCAAGGAACTAGAATGACATAATTTATACAAAAAAGAAAAACTACCAGGTATATTTTAATAAGAATGATCCAAATTTGTAGATGTAGCATAATGAAAATTAAATTGACATTTTTGACAAAGAAATTTATAATTGAATAGATGTAATAGATCCACCATCAGCTTCAGATTGTTAGGATAGTGTTATTTGAGATAATCTATTGTAACGTTTCAATGCTTTTGTTCACAGGCTTTATATGTCAAATGCCTTCTCCTGCTTCTGGGTTGCTGAGGCGTTCGAGCCTTACCTGATGACACAACAGCCTAAAGAGATTCATTATATTGTGATGAGAGAAGAACAATATAATCGAGCCAACTTAAATTTTTGCTTACAGGCCAAAAAAATAATAGGAACTATTGGTTTATGTAAAAGTGATAGATCAGATAGAAGTGCGTGGATAAAGAGGCTTTGGGTGCACGAGCAATATAGAAGAAAAGGTATAGCATCGTACCTACTCAACGATGCTATACAGTTTGCGACGAATACAGGGTACAGCTGCGCTAATATAGTAGCTTCTGAATACACAGAAGAGGGTAGAGATTTGTGCCTTAGGAAGGGGTTTGAACTTAAACAACTATATCACAAGTATATCTTAGGATCGTATATAATGATATTAATGTACGAATTAACATATCAGATCAAACCGACGGAGGATGATTACTCACCTAAATTAGATTTTGGAAAAGCATTTTTAACTCAATTCTAATGATAGATTTTCATAGTATGCTAATTGTGAGATAATGAATCTCTTTTGAAACGAATCTCTTGAACGAATGAGACTGATCAACTGTGTGTGCGCTACTGTGTTCCTAATTAAACAAAGTACTCGAGCCAAATAGTGATTTATCCAAATGTTACCTTTAGTATTGTCTAAATTTTAGATTAACTAACAAAGAGAAAAGGGTATTATTTTTTACGAAATGTTTGTTATGCATTCCATATATTGTTATATTCTTTATAGAATTATATACTTTATAAAAATTTATACAATTCTATAAACGATACATACATAAAGATAGATATATAAAGAACAAAAATAAAAATATATATATTTTTCTCATTTCTTCTTGATGGCTTTTCGGTATGTAATGATCTCTTGACCTTCCCAGTGTTGATTTTTTACCGTTGATAAAAACCTAGAACAAACATTCCGGTTTAAAAGAATAAGCTGAAAAAAGTTAAGATGCATCACAATAGAAAAAATTTTAATGAAACTTACTTTTCTTGAATTTCGCGCAGCACTTTCTTTTCTTTTTCCGTAATGCCATTTACTGTCACATCCAAATTTATCTGCAACTGCTTCATGTTTTGTATTCCAACTAAATGGGTGTTTACATCCGCATATTGCATGGAATGCCATACCGCCAGTTTGCAGAGTTCTATATCGCGATCCTGTGTTATTTTTTTTCTAATGTTATTTTTTCAGCAGCATTACAGTAACAGATATCTTGATTATCGAGTACAATAGTTGGACTACAATGCGTCTTTTTAATTAACGTCTACCTATTGTTAACAAACCTTGCAGTACTGTGCGGCTTTCGCGCATTGTTTCTTCGTCTCGTCGGAAGCCATATGCCAGCTCTGTGGCCCGTTATTCGTTAACAAACCCATACATGGTGCAGCGGCGTTAATTAAACCGATTTTGTGCTTCTACAAGATAATTAGTGAAATTATCGTCAAATTTGGTGATATACACGAAATTACTTACCTTGAAGAATGGAATGTACTCCGACAAAGTGTCATCGATGAGAGTAAGTCTAGAATAACTCAATACACTGGCTATATTTACGTTACTCTTTTCGACGCATTCTTTTAGTACGGACACTGGATACCCAGTTATACCTACATGCCTGGCTTTGCCATCAGCCACGAATTTCGATAATTCCGGCAAGGTTTGTGTGATTATTACATCCATTGTGAGTGCAAATTCGATATCGTGAATCTGCAAATTTTATTTTTTGAATGTTCAATTGTTTTATTAGATTTAATTTTGATTCACGTGAAATGATAATGTGCAATATTTTACCTGAATAAGATCAACGTAATCCAGTTCCAACAATTCTAAACTCTTTTTGAAACTATTCCGAACTTTCTCGACGGTGAAATTGAACATATTGTCCCAATCTTTCTCGTATCTGCCAACTTTCGTCGAAATATAATAAGCTTTGCGCGGAATCCCCTTTAAGGCCTATAATAAATAAAGAGATGAAACATTAGTCGCTCGGTTGGTATACGACAAAAAATTCTGTAATCTTTTTAATAAATTTTCGCACACCTTGCCAAGCATTGTTTCGGATTGACCTTGACCGTACCACGGTGCTGTATCAATATAATTGATGCCTTGCTTTATTGCCTGGCGTACAGTTTCGATAGCCTCTGCTTCGTTACTGCAGAACAATATAATTATGTAATAATTATTACATATTGTTTAATATAACTCTCGCACGAATAATAAATAATTTACCTTAAATTGTAAATACCACATAGCGTAGCGCCACCAAAACCTAATTTGCTTACAAACATCCCTGTTTTTCCGAGCTCTTTGTATTCCATAGCTTTTACCGCTTCGGGATCATGAAAACCCTCAACGTAGGTGGGAGGAAACATGTTTCTGTTTGAATGAAAAATGAAAATATTATAATACGATAAATAATGCGATAAAGAAAGATTGAAATTCAAGTGATTTTCGAAGGTTTAATTTTCGATGCTAAAGAGATATCGATAATTTTTTTTAATAATAAGTTAGAAACTTTTTTTAGGGAGATAAATATCTGTATAATTTTTTCTGGCATTGCTTGTATAGTATAAAAATAATGATATGTGACATATACGTGTATATAAAATATAGATAAAGTGATGGCATAAGTATTTAATATTTTTTAAATAAAAAAAAGTAAAATAAAGGTAAACTCAAAGTGTCTAATATTATATTACTATTTTATATATAAATTTTTATGTATAAAATATTATATATTTTATTCGATCATTATTTTAATTCTAAAAATATTACGTAACAGACGTTACATTTATATACTCAATAAAATCAATCACAACGCTTTAAGAGCAGCCGATGACAGTCTTCTCCTACATTTTTCTACATTTAATTATACGTTATTTCTATAAAGAAAAGAGAAATGGAATCAAAAATATAAAAACATTATATATTATATATGAGGATGTCCAACGATCCTTGAATATTCTTGAATCTTGAAATTACTGTGGAATTTAAGGTATTTTGGAAAATTCCAGATCAGTCTTGGAATTTCAAGACTGACCTAGGATTTTTGTCATTCTTTCATTTAAAAAAATCGGATTATATGAAAAAGAAAAAGATAAAACATATCTCCCACGCGTGCGCAAGAACTATGTCAGTAACGAGAAAGAGCGAGTTTTTTAATTCATCAATTGATCAATTGCAAGATGCGCAAGTGCAACATGTTGCATCTGCGCATCATGGGATTGATCAATCGATGAGTTAAAAAACTCGCCCAAATTATACAATGATTTGAAATAAAACTTTAAAAGCAAGTGCGGACATTGAAAATCAAATTAATAATTTAATAAAGCGCCAATAAATTAATAATTGTATAAGGTGATGTTTGAGATACGTTAATAAAAAGAAATATTATGTTTGGCTATGAGTCTTTTCTTAAAGAAAAAATTTGAATGTCTACAAAATTATAAAATAGAACATAACGGAAGAATTATTGTTTGCATTGAATTATGTTTATATATTGCACGAATTGACAAACATTTAATAATTAATAAAAATTAATCGACCTGGAAGAACCAAATCTTTTACCTGGAATGTTCTGGAATTATTCTTGAATTGAACAAGATATCGTTGAACACCCTGACGCGCAATAATATAGGAATATAAAATAATGATATTTAACCAATATTCAATATTGAAAAAAAATTACACAGCCACAATTATATCAATCAAGTATATTTACACATACATACGAATATATATTTTAATATATTATTAATTAAGGTTGTTCACTTTTTCACTATTTTAGAAAATATTTTCGTACTTGTTTATTGGTTTCCAGATATTGCAGTGATAATGGAGTTTTATTGAGATGACCACGTCTCACAACGGCAATAAAATTTGGATTGAGCTTTTATCATTCAAGTGAACGGACTTCAATAAAGAGCGTTATCACATATGCACTTATGATGTAACCGTCCTTTGAACAACAAGAGTGGAATGAGAGAATAAATACACAATTTTATCATCAACGATAACGTATGCAACGTTGCAGTTTTGCGAGGTTGCCATGTTAAAGATAAGTTCTGTTTTTTATTACTGCACTCTCTGAACTGATATACATACAGTGCAGTAAGTTAAAGTGAAACAAACGTACACTCGTTTTACTTCAACTTATTACACTATATATGCACCAGTTTATAGAGTGCAGAAATGAAAAAAACACTTGTTAGTTCAACAGCACTGTTACATAGTACCAGTTACTGATTAAACGGGAATCTGCCGAAGCTCTACTCTATCGATAAATTTACATAAAAATTTGCTTCTCTATTTTCTCCATTGTACAAATTTACATAGAAATTAACTGTTAACATGCATACAGAAAATGTCGTCTTTCTTGAATCGAATTTACATAGTGTTTTTTTTATTATTCTATATACTTTGTTTTTAATAACAGTACTTCTTTTCGTGTTACTTAAACTTAACATAATAAGAGGTCTGTTTGTGTTACTTCAAAATCCCCAAAATGTTTGCACTTAAAGAAAGATAGATATTTGAGCGTTGAAAGAGAGAGAGAGAGAGAGAAAGAGAGAGAAGAGAAAGCGAAGATACTGAATGCAAAAAGTGCAAGCAACGCGAACAGACCTAACGTTATAGTATTTATAACAATGACAATATCAAATCGTGTGTGTATAATATGATAATACATACGATATCTAATAAATACTTCAGCAAATAGCGTTAAAAAAAATTTGGAACGTAATGTAAATTATTCGCTATATTTAGTAATTCAATAATCATCTTTCTCTTGTACTTTCGACGTTATGTATCAACATTTTTTATGATAAATATTATTTTAACAGTTTGACAAGTCTATTTACTCAGGATTTACAAACATTATTCTCTATTCTATTATAAGATTTGCTCTTCGCAGTTAAACATTCGCAGTTAATGCATTTTTTATTTTTTTCTTTCCAACGTCTAATTAATCATCGATCTTGTTTCAAGCACGGAAAGTACGTAGCGCAAGAAACAGATTTATAATCTCTTTTTTGCTCACTTTTATAAATTCTAAAAATGTCATTTTGTTGCTAAGAAAAGTGATTACTCAATTTACTTTTTTCTTTTAAATAATGATATATATTTGTAACAAAAATATTTTTTTGTTAATATAATTAACATTATATTGTAAAATATTATATTGTTAATATAATAAATATACACTTAAAAAAAAAATACTATTTAGACTTAATCATGTACTTGAAACAAGAATTCTGTTTTTAAAGAATATTGTAAAATTTATTGAAGAAGCGACTCTATCCTAATAAATAATTCGAATTTATTTTAATTTAATAATTTTGATCAAAGAGTGTGTTAAATTTATTAGGATTCACAATATATGTCGAATAAATTTGATGCTTATAATGAATTTATGGATTTTTGTGGATATATGAACATTTGAAGTACTTGAAATAAATATAAACTATTATTTGCGTACAGTATGCATTTTATATATATTTTATATATTCTATGTGTAAATGTTCGCATTTAGCATGCAGTTTACACGTTACATGTATTATAAAATCTCAGAAATAAATGCGCGCATTTATTGATACAAGTAAGGAGTGAACACGGTCCTATGTAATTTCAAATTCGCGTCCCTCGCCAACTTCAGGATTAAAATACTCGAGTGCTGCCGACTTCAGTTGTTTCGTTGTCGCGCGCGCGATCTCGTTAACGTTTTTTTCCTCTTTCACTTTGTTGTCGCGAAGCAGCCGCGAAGACCCCGTAATTTCGGAGCGGCCTGTTTTCTGGGTTATGTGCCGGCCATCTCAGTGCGATTATGTAATAAATAGAGGGCCCGGTCAGTCGGGGTCCTGTGCCCTCGGGGCCACTGAGAACTCGCGGCCAAGGTAGAGGCCACTGGCACTCGTTCAGTGCACTCGTTCCTCTCGTACGTTCAGCATCGCGGTCGGCCGTCCCGCGGAAATTCTGCAAAGAGATTTCACACTACGATACGCTGCTGCTCCTATCTATGTAAGTGACATTTTTCTTTCTTTTTTACGGCTTTAAATTAAGCCGCACAATGCATACTCGATGATAAAGGTTTTGATAGAAGATATTCACCACGCGCGGAAAAAAATATGGAGGGCCGTCGTATGCTTGGTGATTCGTTTCTTCTTCGTGACATAACGGATTGACGGAAGGAGAGCACGGAGGCTCTCTGTAAAATTCATCGCAGATATTTTTGCGACATCTTCGTACGTCAATAAATTGATAAACATCATTCATTTTGCGTGATATATTATATACATAAAATACCTTTTAATATATTATTATATATTTATGGTTTTATTGTGTTTGTGAGAAAAAGATATCGTTTAATTATCTATATATGTAAATGCCAAGAAATTTGAAATTAAATACTGAACCATTATTACTAAATATACACGCAGGTTATGTATTTGAAATACAAAATATCTTTTAATTTTTCGTTCTAAAATTTTGAAGTATAAAATGCAAAATGTTTTTATGTGTTCCGCTGAAATACAAGTGTGTTACAAATACTGCTTTTCAAATAAAAGTATTTGAGATACGTGCCCATCCTTGTATATACGATACTTATTCCGTGCGTGTCGCAACTTATTGTTATAGAGCGTTTTCCACCGGGAAAACTAATGCAACACTGGTGCACATTAAGTGCAATTGAATGCAAATCATTTCACTGTTAATAAATAATTTAATATTTTAATTACGCATATCCTTTGTTGTCACGATATAATCTTAAAAGGATTACATTTTATTAACACTGAAAATATGTAAACCGATTTGCACTCAATTGCCAATGTTGCACTAATTTTCCCTTGTGGAAAACGCTATTAGTCATTCCAAACAGGGATTCCCTTCACACGCGAAGCTTCGCCGTAATATCATGGGGTGCTTTCCCGCTTATCTAAAAACCGCAGGAGCGTTTGACGAGTCTTGATAGACCCTTAATCGCTTGTCGTCTCGTGAAGGAACAATTCTGGGAAGTAACGACGAAACTGCCGGGCCGGCGCGCAGACGATAATTGAGCCGTTCAAAAAAGCGGGTCGACATTCCAAGGTTTTAATTAAAAAAAAAAAAAAAAAGAACGCCGTTAATCTTCGCTTCTCGTGTACATATATGCGATATAGCAGATAATTTGCGAAATGCCAGCAACGTATTATATACCCATACAACACAGAACACAATATTATTACTGCACGGAAAGAAAGAGTCTAAAAATTTAGATACAGATCTGAAAATAATATGATTTTCCTAAATTATCGAAATTACAAAGAAGTCTCAAGCATGCTGCGAAAAGTTTTGATATTTTAGCAACAAGTATGTACGTTCTACATAATTATTTTAATGGTATAAACGAAATTATTTTTAGATTTGTTTCTGACTAAATTTTTTAATTTACTTTAACAAAACTGTTTTTTTGTGCTGCAATATTGCTGGAACTATTTGTGCTGTATGAATACATGTTATTTATTATTTAGTATGTTTTAATGTATAATCGGTGAATTTTGGGAAATTCCTTCAATACTTTCTAAAATGAATAATCTGGATCAGATTGTCGCATTATTTTTTCTCGAAGCAAGCAAAATTTCATGATTATTTGGCTGGTATCTGGAAAGAACAACTTTACTAAATTTTAATTAAATAGCAGTTTTAGTTATAACTTTAAATCTATACAAATTAATTTTGTTAGTCCATCAAAATAATTATGTAAAGAATCTCAAGTATGACGACCAATGCTACAAAATGTTACGGCATTCCCGCAACTATTTGAATGTCCTAAATAATATTTTGATGGTCCAAATTATTTTCAGATATGCATCTAAATTTTTAGATATTTTAGTAATATTATTCTTTCTATGTATTCGCAGTCGATTCTTACTTTAAGACAGTTTTAAGTAATTGTATTATATATATATAAATAAAGCCCATAAAAACTAACACTGGATGGAAATTGTGCAAAAGAACATGTATTAATCAAGGTTAAATACAGACGTTTCGATCTTGTGTTGGAGGTCATCATCTTTAGTGTAAATTAACTTATTACTAATCATAGAGCTATGGTCAAAACGCAATTTTAAGTATAATAATATATTATGATGCTAATACAGCTCTGTGATTGATTTGACAGATGGCCTTAAATACAAGAACCAACTATGAATACCAATCATGAAATTATGCACAGTCATACATTCACGCTGGTATCACGCTATCTATCGCGTCTCAAAACTGCTATCGGTTGACGTGGACGGTATTGACATTTCAGAGATTTAGGGCTGTAGGTCTAAGACGACTTTACGTTTCATTCGTTCCGACACGAGAGTCACGTTTCGTTATGGAACAGGAACTGAATACGGAATTTTGTTCGTTGATTATATATCTCAGTGACGCGTATCTTTCCCTTAACCCAACTCTGAAAGTCTTTAATTATACCAGTATTGGCGGAAGGAGGTCGAATACCGGTATACAACGTAAAATTTTCATAATACCGGCATATACATAATTTTTTAATATTGATATACCGATTTTTTATCGAATCAATATTGCGAAATAAGTCAAATTTGTAGTTTATTTTTGTTGTTGTTTAGTTTATTTTTTGAACTTCTTCAATAGCCTGCTAACTTCGCCGAAAATTATTTAACGCCGGATTTGAATGATTCTGATTAGAGATCTTTTAATCACATCAGATGGAATCATTTTCGGCTCCTTAAACGCGAAAAGTCGCATATGTAAGCGCAGTGGTATTGAACTCGGATCTACGAATCACGAATCAATTGCACCGAGCGGCGAGCTACTCGACGTTTCATATTATTAGTATATTTTAAAAACAAATTAGAGAGAATAAAGGGCAATAGGAGTCGGGCGCAGAAAACATCGCGCTTTTATTATGATAGGAGCACTGATATCATGATAAAAGAAAGTTTTTTGAATAAATGGTTTTTGTCATTTATAGTA